TAGGTGGTTAAAGGAAGAAGACAGCGGTTTGTGGAGTTATAACAATGAGAATAAAAAATTCAAATGGCTGAGTAGGGATATTGTGGTACATTACAATTGGGTGAAGAGGACTGCTAATTCTTTTGCTGATGGGTTAACAAAGCAAGGGGTGAATAGGGAATCGATTTTTTGGGCTAACTTTTGACTTTTTTCCATTGTTTTTCAATCTATTCTATTGGTGGGGAGTTAAGACTTTTTACCTCCCGTTTTGTACCATAAGTTTCACATAGTTTCATATCATTAATAAAGTTTCTTGTTATTGATAAAAAAAAAACTGTGGTGGATTTTTTTCCTGCACTGAGAGGAATTAGACAAGGAGACCCACTCTCCCCTTTCTTGTTCACTTTGATTACAGATGTGTTATGGAGATAGATACATAGAGCTGATTCGAGAAATTTGTTAAGAGGATGGAGTTGGACGGGAGGAGATTCCACTTACACACTTGCAGTTTGCAGATGATACCATACTGTTCTGTGAAGATGGTAACATTAATTGGATTAGGATCATGAAATTGACAATACAACTCTTTGATCAAATGTCCAATCTTAAAGTGAACTTTGATAAGAGTTGTATAGTGGGGGTGAACATGGAGGAAAGGGAATTAAGTGAATATGTAGGCTTGTTAGGTTTTGCAATTTCAGAGTGGCCTATGAATTACTTAGGTCTCCCCTTAGGAGATAATCCCAAGAAAGAAAGTTTTTGGAACCCGGTGGTGGAAAGATTTGAGAAAAGACTTGTTTCTTGGAGGAGAAATTATCTTTCCTTGGGGGGGATAGTCACTTTGATTAGATCTATCCCATCTAACCTACCTATGTATTTTTTGTCAGTGTTTAAGATTCCCACAAAAGTCTCTAACAAACTAGAAAAGCTAATGAGAGATTTTTTGTGGGAGCAAGAAGAGAAGAAGAGGGACCATAGGGTGGGGTGGGAGGTGGTAACTAGATGTAAGAAGCTAGATGGTCTAGGGATTGGGAATATTAGGAAAAGAAATATGGCTTTATCGAGAAAGTGGCTATGGAGGTTTCCGTTGGAAAGGGAAAAATTGTGGCTAGCATTCGTGGGCTGGAGGACAATGGCTAGGATCCTAGAATTCTGGCAAGGACTATAGGTGCTTCTCCTTGGAAAGCCATCCATGATCTTCTTCCAATCTTCTCCTTATGGATTAGGTATGTGTTGAATTCTAGCAATCTTATAATGTTTTGGGAGCAAACTTGGGTTGGGGATTTCCCTTTGATGGACCAGTTTCCTTCTTTGTATGCCCTATCTAACTTGAAGAATGAACCCATCTCTTCTTTTATTATGCCTTCAGACTCCTCTTCTGGGTTTGGGTGGAACCTGGGCCTGAGAAGGGTTGTTAGGGACACAGACCTTGGGAGTACTTCAAACTTGTTAACCATTCTTCAGAATGTTTTCTTGGATCCCTCTAAGGAAGATATCAGAATTTGGACCCCATCATCCTCTGGTACCTTCTCTTGTGCTTCCTTCTTTGGAACCTTATCTCAGCCTTCTGCCTCTAGTGGTCTGTCTTTCCCTGTTAAAGAGGTTTGGAGTAAGCCCATTCCTCCTCAGGTTGGTAGTTTTTGTTGGGAAACATTCCTGGAAAGAATTAACACAGGTGACCTACTTCAAAGAAAGATACCCAATTCTTGTCTATCCCCACATAGGTGTATTATTTGCAAAGTTGAAGGGGAAACTGGTTACACCTTTTGATATCTTGCCTATTTGGTAGAATTATTTGGGATTAGGTTTTCTCCCTTTTTGTGTGCAGCTGGTCCCTTGAATGTGCAAAGCCTCTTCTCTCCTTATTTTAGTTGGCCTTTAAAAAGAGGGAGAATCATGTGGAGATGTATTAGGGCTGCAGTCTGCTGGTCTATCTGGGAAGAAAGAAACTCACATACCTTCTCAGAAAAGGAAAGAACCATTGAGAATGTAATGGAGCTGATACACTTAAGGGTGGCTCACTGGATGAAATCTCTGGACCTATTCACAGTTTTTTCCTTGGATGACTTGATGAGGAATTGGTTGAGATAGCTAATTCTGCCCAAGTTAATACGGTTTCTTCTCCCTCTTGGACCTCTCCCCCACCTCGATTCATGAAGCTGAATTTTGATGGAAGTAGTTTAAGGAACCCAGGGCTCTCTGGTATAAGGGGAGTGTTCAGGAATGAAGGCCTTATTATAGCCATGTTCTCAGGCCCTATTGAAGAAGGAGACTCTCTTAGGGCTGAGATCCTTGTGGCTCTGGAAGGTGCCCAAAGAGTAAGGGAGCTGAACCTAAGAAAAGTGGTTTTTGAAGGTGACTCAGAGGTGGTGGTGAGATGGCTAAAGGAAGATAACTCTGGTATCTGGAACTACAGCAATGAAAAGAAAAAACTTAAGTGGCTGACTAGGGACATTGAGGTGAAATACATTTGGGTAAAGAGAACTGCTAACTCGCTGATGGGTTAGCCAAGCAAGGGGTGAATAGGGGATCTCTCTTTTGGGCTCATTTCTAATCATGTATTTTTTTGTTTTGCTAAAATGGGGGTTTTAAGAAAGTTTACCTCCCCCTCTCTTGTAATTATAGTTTCTTATTCTTAATAAATTCTTCCGTTACTGATCAAAAAAGAAAGAAAGAAAAGAGGAAGGGTAATGTGGAGAGCAATGAGGGCAGCAGTTGTTTGGGCAGTGTGGCAAGAGAAATAACATAATCTTTCAAGGGAAAGAAAAATCAGCACATGAAGTCATAGAAAAGATCCCCATAAAGGTTATACATTGGTTGAAATCGCTGGACCTGTTCAAGGACTTCTCTGTAGATGATTTAATTAGAGGGTGGAGCACAGTAGCAGCTTCCTCCTACCCCTCTTTAGCTATTCAAGAGGACTGGTTGCCCCCGTTATCTGTAGCTGTTAAGCTAAATTTTGATGGCAGTTCTGTAGGTAATCCAGGCCCCTCTGGAATTGGGGGTGTCTTTAGAGATGGGGAAGTCCAAGTCCTTGCCCAATAGGATTGGGGGACTCTCTTAGAGCAGAAGTTCCGGCACTCCTACAGGAGCTCAAACCGACTAAACAGCTGGGTTTTCAGCAGTTGGATGTGGAGGGAGATTCGAAATTGGTAATAGGTTGGATGCAAACAAACAGCTTAGGTGCTTGGTCCCTTAGACAACCTGTAAGGGAGATTATGCAACTAACAAGGGAGCTTGAAGTCTGGTTTAAATGGACTAGAAGATCAGCCAATGCAATGGCCGATACTTTAGCAATGCAAGGAGTTAGTAGGCAGAACCTTTTTTGGGCCTGTTTGTAATTTTGATGAGGGGTCACCTTGTTTTTGAAGGTGACAGTTTGTACTAAGTTTTCTTAAAGAATTAATGAAAGTTACCGTTTCCCGCCAAAAAAAAATCAGATTATAGGTGGGGGAGAGATGAGAGTTGGCAAAGGCAGCACTGAGTCGGCAGCCTGACAACTGGTTAGGTTTAGGGTTTGGTAAAATGCTAATGGTTAGAGAAGTTTTCTTCAAGTTTAGTATTATTGAGAGTTTTAGGTTTAATTGGAGGGAATTTTTTAGGTTTTAACTTTAAATTGAAATTACAATTTTACACTAAAGTGAGTTTTTATCTTTTTAGCATTGTATAAACGTCTTTTAAATAAAATATAAAAATATGTTATATATAATTAGCCGATCGAATTGGATTTTTCTTTTTAAATCGAATCAGGGGGTGATTCAAATTCAATCCCATAAGCAAACAGATTGTATTTCCTGATCTGATTCAATTTGATAATGCACTAAGGGATATCCAAATACAGCACAATCAGATCAGATTCAAATTCTAATCAGATCAGGACCCAGTTCATTTGCACCCCTATTAACCAAGGTGTTGATGTATGTAGAAATTATCTGTTTTGCTTTCTTTGAGGGTCAGCTATAATTGAGTTTTTGGCATCTTTCTTAAACCATCTCAAAGATGGGGTCCTGACTTGTATGTATGATCATTGGCTAGACAATAAATAAAGCTTTAGATTGTTTTTATTTGCAATGTTCAGAGAACCGGAACGGGCATAGAAAGGGAGAGGTTCACAGGTCAGAGGTTCAACCACAGTCAAACCGAAAGTTGAACTGTGATGGCGTAACATATATACATAAATACTATGAGACACTTAAATACTATATATAATATATTTTATAGATATTATTACACTTGAATGTGGTGGATAGATAACTGGTTTCTAAATTTTTAAAACAAAAGACCAGGGTTCAAGCCTCTCAACTCACATTTTCTTTAAAATATGTGTGTATTAAAGCAATATATACATTAAAGAGGCATAAATGAGCACAAATAAAGAGATGAATTAATGGTAACAAGACAATATATGTAATTAAAAGGTCTTGGGTTCAAGTCTTGCAATTACCATTATGGATTTCTATCCATGTGGTGACCTGGGTGGTTTTATAAAACTGGGACTGGTTCACTGGTTTCCTGGTTCAACCAGCTGGTCAGCCAGTTTTTCATGAATTACAGTTTTATGGGTATGACCGTACCAGCAAGGGGCCCAGGTCACGGTTCAACTGGTCTGATCAGCTGGTCCAGTCTGGTTTCCTAAACAATGGTTATTTGCATGAATGACCTTGTGACTTTTAGTCAGAGTAACCTACTAATGTCTTGCAGAAGTCGAGTTTGGTTGGTACGGCTCTTTGAATATGCTGAACACATTTTTCTTGTTTCTTTCTATTTTTTTTCTATTTATCATTTTTGTTCCTACTTTGGTTGTTAGAGAAAATGGCCATTTAGGTCCCCCCCCTTGGGATGCTGCAGTGTTTAATGTTGTTGATTCCTTCTATGGATTTTCTTCAGAATATTGTATCAGCAATTTAATATAACATTTTTTACCAGTTAATTCCTTCCATGGATTTTTGTTCAGAATATTGTTTCAGTAATTTAATTTGAATGATCTCCTGTTAATCTAACCATTGGGGAAAAAATTCTAGGTTGCATTTCTAGCATCTGCAGTTGGGCCACGTGTTGCTGCAGCCTGTGCTCATGCATCATTAGCAGTATTGTCAAAAGATGACCACCAAGTGGCTGGTTCTAGTAATGCCCCACAAATGGAAGGCGAAACTGTGGGAGTACAAGGATCTAATCAGAATCATGCAGTTTCTTCTCCTCTGCCCATTGAAAGTGTGAATATTGCTGCAAAATTCGGTTTAGCTGCTGCAGCAACAAAGGCAAAACTATTTGCAGATCATGAGGAACGTGAAATTCAGAGAATGGCTGCAAGTATTATAAATCATCAGGTATTACCATTGTTCTTACATTTTGAATTTATTTTTCCTTTTGATTTCTCCGGTTATGCTTGATGTTTTTATTTTGCCATCATTGGTTTTACTGAGAGCTGTTACATGAATACAGTGGCTTCTCTTACCAAAGAATGCTTTATTGTATTTTCTTTAGTGGCCGGTTCTGACACTTTTCCTTCAGGAGTAGGATTGCCAGTTTAAATGATAAATATGTGCTACATATAAAGGGAACAGTTAATGGTTTTAGCTTCCGTTGAAGCTGAGGTTATTATTATTGTAGAGAACACTGATGTGGGCCCCACAGCTATGGTCCCACTGTGTCCATAGGGTAGAATGTGCTCTAGTCATCCTAGGGTTAGTTGATGGTCAATCTGTTATTCCAGTTGTTATTTATATTTCAGTTTTATATTATTTTATTTGTTATGTAAATACCAAGGGCAGATTTGTCTTTTTCATGTAACTAGCATAACCTATAAATACTAAATAGAAGTGGCGGCAGCAGAACATTCAGATTCTGTCCTTCCTTTCAATTCTTGTGTTCTACTGCTCTCTCTCTACTCTTTCTCCTCTCTCCTCTATACCTTTTCTCCTATTTTCGAACCTGAAATCTATTAGGGTTCAAGGCTGATAGCAGTCTTGAACATCTACTATTATTATTTAAGATTGTCAACAAGATCTATCTTTGTTGAAACTGAAAATGATGCAATCATCTAGGACACTGCAAAGGGGCTAGATACAAAGGCTTTTTCAGAGGGAAACTAGGAAAAGCAAAACCAATATACACACAAATCTCTCCTAACATTTTTGTATATGGGTCTATGAAATGAAATTTGGGGTTGGGGATACTGTTTGTGGGTGGATTTTCAAGCCAGGCGATTATTAACAGGCATAGCTCATAAATGCAGGTTTATGAATTGTTTTGGCAAGACCAAGACCCAGGAGTCATGAAATCAATTCAGACAATCATATTACAATTTTAGAATTTTAGATAATAAGATTGTATTACTTATGTTTTTATCCAAAATTGTATCTCTTGTTTCATTCCTCTCCCCAAACCCAAATTCACCATGCACCATATCATAACCTGCATGTCTTTTCTCCGCTGCATTATATCATAACCTTACCATCTGTTCAGTGTCTTAGTTAATTAATCTTAATTTTTTTATCAATAATGGCAAATTTTATTAAGACACTGAAGCTTTAATTACAAAAGAGGGGGAGGTAAACTGTCTTAACTCCCCCAACAGAATAAAAAAGAAGCAAAACTAGAAATGATCCCCAAAAAAGGAACCCCTATTCACCCCTTGTTTGGTTAGCCCATTGGCAAGTGACTTAGCAGTTCTCTTTACCCAACTGTATTTAACCTCAACGTCCCTAGTCAGCCACCTAAGTTTTTTTCTTTTCAATGCTGTAATTCCTTATACCCGAGCTTTCTTCCCTAAGCCATCTCACCACCACCTCAAAGTCACCCTCAATAACCACTCTTCTGATGTTCAGCTCCTTAGCTCTTTGGGCACCTTCCAGGGCTGCAAGGATCTCAGCCCTAAGAGAGTCTCCTTCCCCAATAGGGCCTGAGAACATGGCTAGAGTAAGCCCCTCCTCATTCCTGAAAACTCCCCCAATACCAGACAGCCCTGGGTTCCTAAAGCTGCTGCCATCAAAGTTTAGTTTTATAAATCCAATGGGAGAAGGGGTCCAAGAGGGATTAGAAACCCTTTTGACCTAGGCAGAGTTAGCTATCTCCTTCCAATTCCTCAGCAAGTCATCTAAGGAGAAATCTGAAAATAAGTCCAAGGATTTCAGCCAGTGTACCACTCTTCAAGTGTATCAATTCCAATAAGTTTTCAATGGTTCTCTCCTTTTCTAAGAAAATTCATAAATTTCTTACTTCCCATAAAGACCAACAAACTGCTGCCCTAATACATCTCCACATAATCTTCCATCTTTTCAAAGGCAAGCTAAAATAAGGAGAGAAAAGGTTTTGCAAATTCAAAGGGGGGGGGGGGGGTCCAACTACACCCAAAGAGGGAGAATACCCATTCCCAAATAGTTCTAGCAACCAGACAAGAAACCAATAAGCGATAACCAATTTCCCCTTCAACTTTGTAGAGAATACACCATTAAGAAGAATTGGGCCTCTTTCTTTGAAGTAGGTCACCTCTATTAATTCTTTCAAGGAATGTCTCCCAACAAAAACTGCCAACCCGAGGAGGAATGGGCTTGCTCCAAACCTCTTTAGCAGGGAAAGACTGACCACTAAAGGCAAGAGGCTGAGATAAGGTTTCAAAGAAAGAGGCACAAGAGAAGGTACCAGAGGAGGATGGGGTCCAAATTCTGGCATCTTCCTTAGTGGGATCCAAGAAAACGTTTTCAAGAATGGTTAACAAGTTCAAAGTACAACCGAGTTTTGTGTCCCTAACAGCCCTCCTCAAACCCAAGTTCCACCCAAACCTAGAAGAGGAGTCTGAAGGCACAATGAAATAAGTGATAGATTCATTCTTCAGATCAGACAGGGCATACAAAGATGGAAACTGGTCCATCAAAAGGGAATCACCAACCCAAGTTTGCTCCCAAAACTTTATAAGGCTACCAGAATTCAAATCATACCTGATCCAATAAGAGAAAACTGGAAGATCATTGATGGCTCTCCAAGGTGAAGCACCTGTAGTCCTTGCCAGAATTCCAGGATCCCATCCATTGTCCTCCAACCCATGAATGCTAGCCACTATCTTTGTCCACAAGTTTTCCTTTTCCACCGGAAACCTCCACAGCCACTTCCCAATAAAGCCATGTTCTTTTTTCCTGATGTTTCCAATCCCAAGACCACCTAACTTCTTGCAATTAATCTTAATTAAATTTCAGTGCATACAAGCATTTTCTCCCTTGAATGTTCCCTAACTTCAGATGGGGAATCGTGTAGGATGCATTAATTCAGTTGAGACAATTACACTACAGTTTTCTTTTTTTTTTTTTGATTAGTAAGAAATGCTCTTCTTTCTATTAGCAATATGAACATCTGACATATGAAGCAACTTTTACAAGTCACGAAGGTCCATTTTCGGTAGTTTGATATTTAACATGAGAAAACCACCTTCTGAAATAACATTCCAGATTCTTTATATGACTCAGATGTTATTTGGATAGATATAGTTCTCAAGGGTCCATTACTTGGTGCAATCTGCAATGGTAAAATCTCAGGCTGGCAAGCTTGAGAACACAGGTTCAAGTCTGAGAGCAGCCAGCCGGCCACTTTATGCAAACAAATGCCAAAGGTTAGGACCGTTTCCAGTGTACCCCCTCCCCAGTCCCCAGATAGCTGGGTCCAACATTGGGTAATGGCCTTTTCTTATGTAGTTTTCAAGATATGCAAGGGAGAAGGAAGAAAAGATGTTGAAAAATCTAGTGATGCTGAGAAACCTTGGATAGCCCCAAAGCAGAAAGTTTCTAAGCTATCTAAGCTATTCCATTTGTTTCCACATTCAGGTTGTTTTCATGAGAAGGCACTGACATAGAGAATAATGGCTTTTTGATATTGTATAAATGTATAGTATAATGTGTAATTAGATGCAAGACTTTTCATTCTGTGAGTAAGGTTCAATGTTGAAGCAGGTTTTGCTTAACTTTTTTTTTATTGGTTGATTTTGCATAATGGATATTCATAACATTCACCTTCTGGTTTCTTTTGGAAAACATCTGACTGATGATCTTAAACACATGTTAGATTGTTAGAAAAGAGAGCCTCAACATATGTTAGCGTGACCAAGCTTTCTCTCTCTCTCTCTCAAAAGTTCTTTTTGGTGGGGATGTAAAAAAGACCCTTTCCTTTTGAGCTAAGCCAATGGAAGTTTGCATACTGATCCAAAAAATAAATAAATATGGCAGTGAATGGAGAAAATAATGCGAAGGACGATGTCAAATAGACAAGCCATAGTAGGGAAAAGCTTAATGGACAGCAATGCCAAGGGAAATGTACCATATGTTACGTTGGTAGAGATCTGTCCTGATAGTAAACTGAAAAACTTTGCTTGGCCAATGCATTTCTGAGTAGGAATCTTAGGATTCTTTACTCAAGACTCCAGACTGTTAAGATTGTCTAGTACTGTTAATGATATTGTTTGAACTGCCAGTTAGTTAGAACCGTGTTCTTATGGTTCATCAGTGAAACAAACATTTGTTATAGGCTGAAGACGTTGAAGGCGTGCACTTGTGTTTTCATTCTTTCCATTTAATTGACTTTTGTTTTTCTACATAGTTTGTCTTTTATAAATTGACGGGCTTCTTATTTATCAAAAAAAAAAATCACTGCTTAGTTTAACTCATTATTAAAAGTTATCTTATTGCAATTTTAGTTGAGCAAATGGTAAACATGCATATTTATTTGGGGCAGAAAGGGTTTTCAACTCAAGGTTTTTTTTATTTTTGTTAAGGTCATGTCTGGGACCCGCACTGGTGATGCATTTACAGAAACTGAGTGGCTTAAATGTATTTTCTAAAGTAAACTATTTCTGATGGTTTCATGGTTTCTAATTTGTTTTATTTTTTTCGGCACAGTTGAAGAGACTAGAGCTGAAGCTAAAACAGTTTGCGGAGGTGGAAACATTGCTGATGAAAGAATGTGAACAGGTGGAGAGGACAAGACAGAGGCTTGCAGCTGAACGGGCCCGGGTTATATCGACCAGGTTTGCACCTCCAGGAGCAACTGCTACCCTACCACCTGTTGCTGCTGCTGCTGCAGCTATAGCAAATAATAGTGCTGGACCTGCTGGTACCAGCAGGCAACAAGTAATTTCAGCCTCACCTGCACAGGCAAATATCCCTGGATATGGCAGCAACCAACCAAACCACCCAAACATGTTCATGCCACGGCAACCGATGTTTGCTTTTGGACCAAGGTTACCCCTATCTGCTATCCACCCACCTACGACAGCCGCCGCCGCTGCCTCCACTGTTATGTACACTTCGACCCAAGGAAGTGTGCCCCCTGGCCTCACTCATCCAATGTTAAGACCTGTATCTGGGACAAACACCCATGTAGGTTGACTACCGGAAAAAATGGTTTTCATGCAGAGCTGTATCATTTAATTAGATTACATCTTTCTCTCTCACGCACACAATCATTTGTGATTGCGCAAAACAAAAAAAAAAATGTTATGGTTGAACCCATCAGCTTGACAGATTGCCTCAATGCAGACCCCACTAGAAAACCAGCCACCAGCCCAACCAGCATAGCTTATGTTTTCCCGTAAAAGTAAAAAGTAAAAACAACAAATGCCAGTGATAACACAAGAATTCGGGTGGATGACTGCATGCGTCATTATGCCATTGACATTCCAAAATTGGGTGGAAGCGTGTGCCCTATTATCCAGGGCCTCTAAGCATGGGTGGCTGTTGCTCTTTTCGTAAGGGCCTTCATCCCTCTTGTTCTTCAATACTCTCCGTCTCTCGGGCCCGGATCGATTGCCCTCATTCAAGTGAACTATACGATGTTGATTTGGCTGATTCTTTTGAGTTGACAGGACAAGGTTTACTGTACCAGAATTCAGAAGTCAGAAACCTTAATACATTGCAAAATGGCACCATATTTGCTATCAGTTCTGACGAGGCACGTCTGAATATCTGATCTGCCAAACTAGTTGCAAACACTTTCCTTAACAGGCGTGCTGCGCATCCTTGAACTCGGAAGATGACAAGGGAAAGAAAGCCTGTTGGCATTTCTTTTCGTCTGGCCAAAACAATGCAACTGGAGGCAATTTGCATGGAACACAAATAGATCCAGCCCTTCACAAGCATGGCCTGGAATGCCACCTAACTCAACCACACCCACTTCCTGCTATCTTATACGCAGCTTGTTTTGCTGTGTCCTCTCAGAATACGCCACCAATTGCAGCCATTCATGGTTGACCCAACGAGCACCATGTGCTTAGTTTCAGAAAACATAGGTTATTCTTGGGCTTGGCATGCAGTCCTCCAGTCCTAAGGTTTACCAAGAGTACTTGGAACTTTCTTGTACAGCTATTTCTCTGGAGCTGTTGACTTGCTGCTGCTTGAATGCAGATTTCACATTACTTGTAAGCTTTCCCCTGGATCAACCAAGTTGGCCCTCATAGGGCAGCTAAGGGCTTCCTGATATCAAAATCCTTAAAACAACAAAAGGACCCACTTCAATCTTAATTCTCAATCGGGGTTCAAATATTAAATGTTTCAAGTGAACTACGAATTTAGCAAACATGGTTGTTTCTTTGACAGTAAAAGCTCGTTCAGTAGGATAACAAATGAACTTGCTTGCTTCCAGCAATGAGATCAGTGTCCATTTAATCAATGAGGTATAGGGAAGGAACTTTTCAGGGCATTAACGATAAAAACAAAATGAAAGAAAAAACCATTTGTTTGATGGGGAAAGATCAAATACAAGCACTACTGAACATTGAAATTACCCCAACTACTGGTAAATATCAAAAAAAAAACAGGTAAACTGATAATATTGGATAAATGTAGCATTTAATATGCTTCAATTTGAAATGACGATAGCAGCTCAGTTGTACACCATATATTTGGGCGTTGCACTAAATTTCTGATAGCCTTTGATGACCTTATTAACTGCATCAAGGAAATCTTTCTCGGTCACTGTTTTTCTTCGTGCCCTTATAGCAAACATCCCTGCCTCCGTGCACACACTTCTGATGTCAGCCCCTGAGAATCCATGAAACATAAATTACAAAACCATGGAACCAGAATATTCAAGAGGGATAACAGACAAATACTTAGTAAACAGCAGAATACTTGGTAAACAGCAGGCCTATAGGAAATGGGGGCAAGTATTAAAGTGGCATAGAATATTTATTTTATGTAAAGACAACAATGACCTATCGATCTATCATTAATAGAGGAAAATTGTTTTGCATTCTTTATCAAGTCAGAACAAGGAGTAATTAACGTGCAACAGTCAAAGCAAACTCGCACATAGTTTGCTAATTTGACAAAATAGCATCCATCCATTTTGGTCGCTATCTAGGGAAGAGACGAAGTTTTTCTTTATGGAAAGCAAGCAGATGACTCATTAGTGGGTGAAGAAAATCTTCAACCTAGATGGCTAGATCAAGGATTCAGTTAAGAAACTCATCCAACCAAGAAAGCATCTTCACAGGGTTAATAGAAGCCTAACAACTTGTAATTTATTTTACCCAAAAAACAAATAGTAGGCATTATTAATTTCTTTAAAAGTAACATTATAAAAGAAAAACAAGAAACAGTTCCCCAAAGTAGCATCAATTACCAGTGGAGTTGGGGCAAAGTCGAGCCAAAAGCTCAAACCTTATATCTCGCTCACAATTCATTGTTCTTGTGTGGATCTTGAATATCTGTGTCCTGCTCTCCAAATCAGGTAGCCCAAACTCAACCTTACGATCCAGCCGTCCCGGACGTAATAGTGCTGGGTCCAGTGTGTCTGGTCTGAAAAAATTGTATAAATGAACATAAATATGAAGAGGGAGATGAGTAGTTGGATAGTAACCTTAAAAGAAGATTAATACTAAAATATTAAACATCAGAATACCTGATATATAGTGGCTAGAATGCAGTCAATACTTAATCATGGTTCAGCACCGACATTACGGTTATGTTTTTATATCTTTATAGAATGCAGATGTTGCTAAAGTTTGCATACAAACACCCAAACACCCTCAAATAGCCTACTAGAACCTACATAAACTGGGGTTGGGGGAACGTCTGGCAACTGATTTATCACTTGGCATCTTTGACCAAGCAGGAATCTCAGCTGGCAACTTTCTTGACCCCTATGCACATGCCAGGGTGCTGAGCAAGCCAAGCGGCCTTCTAGACAGAAGTCCCTTTACCAAGGCATTTAGAAGAATTGGAAAGGTACAGCCAAAACTCAGGTCGAAGATATAAGACTGAACTCAACAGTATGGCAGCTCTTGAATGAATATTAACAAGAAATTCTAATTACTATGTAGCCTTCTTAAATTCAGCACATCACATCCAAAGGTGATATCAGCAAGAAACAATAGTGAACCAACTATTGGGCCACCAATGGATTTACTTGACAGAAGTAGGTCAAGCTTCCACAATATAGAGCTCAAAATTTACTAAAAGAATTTGAGAATAATTAGCAATTAACAGTTGTAGAAAGAATTTTTTTTTTTTTTGACCAATAACAGTTGTAGAAAGATTGGTGACTAACCTATTTGTTGCCATCAAAACTTTGATATTTCCTCGAGCATCAAACCCATCTAGCTGATTAACAATTTCAAGCATGGTTCGCTGAACTTCATTGTCCCCACCCACACCATCATCAAAACGTGCACCACCAATGGCATCCACTTCATCAAAAAAGACAATGCAGGCCTTCTTTGAGCGTGCCATCTAAAGAAAAACAGTGTATGATAAGGACCAAATGAGGCAAGAAATTAAAGCAAACATTTGTTTGTTGGAAAATATAATTAAATGAAAGAATCTAAAAATTAGGAAAATCTAGTTAACCAAGCTGGTAAACTGATGGACGGATAATAACCTGAAAGAGCTCCCTAACCATTCGAGCGCCCTCTCCTACATACTTCTGAACAAGCTCACTTCCAATGACACGAATGAAACAAGCATCAGTTCTGTTGGCTACAGCTCTAGCTAGGAGTGTTTTACCAGTTCCAGGAGGACCGTAGCAGAGAACACCCTTAGGGGGATCAATTCCAAGCTTTACAAATTTCTCTGGGTGAAGCATGGGCAGCTCAACGACCTTGCATAAAGAAATCAAATATAGGTTCAACAAAAGGTACTATTGGGGATATCTGGCATGACAGTATAGATGAGCTTGACGATTAATTCTTAATAGTGAAATTCTATAATAACATGCACATACATATGGATCTTAAAGATCACAAGGATCAAAAGACCTCAATATGTTTTGCCCAAGAATGTAAAGATAATAAAGTTAACATAAAAGCACTAAGTAAATATTACACACTTCTCGCATCTTTTCAATCTGCTCTTTGCATCCACCAACATCATTATATGTAACATCAGGCTTTTCTTCTACCGTCATCATCGTTACACTTGGATCGATCTTTGGGGGTAGTGGAATCTGAATCTGATATTTATTCCGATCTACCCTGCAACAACAGCATAAAACAACATATTACCAATCAAAAACAAACAACAATAAAAAGGCAGAAAACAACATAGGCTTCAGCAAACCAACTATATTGAATTGTAATTATGAATGAATATATTTCAGGAAACCAAATGTCGTTTATTACTTCTCTCAATTTGGACTAATTGTAAGAATTAGCAAGAGAACCATGAAAAATCACATCCCGTGTGTGTGTGTGTGTCCTAAAGAGAGGGAAAACGGAGTTAATCAACTAAGGTGACTACAGATAATATAAATAATAAGGGAATAGATAATGACCCAAAAGGTTCTGACATCAGGGTTAGGGTTCTTCTAGCAAGTGGACTTACCTTTTATAAATACACAAAACCTTTGACACCAGAGTGCGTTTTGGAAATTAAGCTGTCTGATAGTTGAAATGTTAAATGAAAAATCCCTCACCATTTTGAGATTTAATAAAACTTAAGTCCAACAATACATATGACCCTTGATAGAGTGAATTAGTAAAAAAAAAATGATCCATGCAGCCAATCTCATGTGATTGCGATAAGGCTTTGTTGAGTTGACTATTACGAGCAAAAGTTTCAACTAAGAACCTTCTGCTTAACCCTTGTATCAAGGTTCAAAGTATTAGAAATGCAAGGTGTATTGGAAAGGCAATTCTAAGAGATGTATCAGGATACGCTTTGGATACATATAGATACAGACGAAAAATCAAGATACACATGGATACACTAGAAAATCCAAAAAAAAATCCTTAAGAAAATATATTAACAATAATAAAATCGAGTTTTATATGATTATAACTAATTTATTTAAATATAAAAACCATACTTTATAGTTTATATAAAGTTTTAGGACATAATTGGTAACCGTTCAAAAATAATAGAAAAACTAAAATGTATATATGTGTATATATACACTAATATTTATTAGTTAATATTTTTGAAGTCATTAATTAGTTAATATTTATTATATAGACTTAGATAATATTTATTATGTACATAAGTTTATATATACCTTAATGTTTAATAAATAAGTATAATTTTATTAATTTTTACTATTATAAAAAATTTAATAATTAAATTTTAGCATTTATTGAGAAACTTTCACCAAAAGAATAGGGATTACTTAAGAATCAAAGTACAGAATATTAAGACAAGCAATAAAGGTATGGCATAGTGGACTAATTGTCTTTGTAAATAAATGATTAGGGCTTGAAACTTCTTACCTTCAATTTATGGTTTTTAACAAGCTATTTGAATTAATTAGCATTTAATGGCATGTTAAATGCCTTAATTAAAGGTGATTCAAAGAGCATAGAATTAAATAATATTAGCATTTAATGACATCTCAAATTCAAAGGCTTAATTAAAAATGATATGAATGAGGAAGGAGAGAGAAATTGAATTTGAATTTAAACAGTAAAAAGAGAGGGAAATTAATTTCAGATTGTAACAGCTGATACATAGTGCGTATTGGTCTATTTCGAGATTGTATCGGCTGATACATACCTGAAATGGTCCAATACGACGCCGATACAGACCCGTATCAGTCTAATACAAACGAAAAAACACGAAATTACCTAATTTTATACGTTTCATGTATCTTATCCATCCCGAAACGGTATGTATCAGCCGATATGGGTCAATACATTGCGAAATTTTAAATCTTGCCCTGTATCTGTATGTATAATCAATTTAAAGGTAAAGTGATCTAATCACAAATTTTCATTAGCGTGGACAAATCAACATCCTGATATAATAGGGCCAAGTTTTAGTAATACATCATACAGAAGTAACAATAAAAATGTTCTTAATAATCCCTTTTTATCAGGTAAGACAACTTGCTCAAAAGTTGAAATAATAAGTATTAACTACAAGTCAAAATTCTAACTGCTTACAGATGCTATCATACATCTGAAACCAGTGGCATAGGAAATGAATGAAAAAAGCAGACTATTCAACAAATAAAATTTTAGGACACATCCAATTCCATGCATTGAATCTTCAAGCAACAAAAACATGAAAATTTTTGTTTTTTCAAAGAACACAATGTGAATGATCTTAATTACTACAGAAATTAAAATATTAAAAATTTGTTAATAAGTATTACAACTTTTTGGAGAAGATAAACAGAAAGCCTACCCCACACGCATGCCTTCTTCAATATCAGTTGGGGAAACTTTGTCTCCCAGTCCAACAACAAACTGCAGTAACCATTAAAATAAACGGGAAAAGAATTAGACACAATTTCTTCCATGCCAAATTTCTTAAACTTTACCGATTGCCAACAGAAGTTAAGCATTGAGCAGAAAATTACCTTCGCAATTTGCTTAACATTTATGACATACTTTGCATCTTCAGTATTTGGATTAATTATCTTTGTGCATCTAGCAACCTGTTTCCCAAAAGTAAATTACTGCTCAGACCTACAACTGATTAAAAAGCCCAATCTAAATAAAGAAACATGAAGCTATCAAGATACCTGCAGCGGTTGCTCCTCCTGCATCATCTGTTTATCAGAGACAAGATCCCATTGGCTGGGTGCAGCTAAACCAGTATCGGACTCTTTAATACCTATAGTTTGAAGACAGTAAAGCCTCTTCAGCCCCAAAAGAGAACCAGCCTAAGAGTTCTATTCGAAAGGGATGAATTAAGAATGGCAGTAATAATGAAGACATGAACAGTAATCCAAAAGAAATACTTGAAACATCTGTAATTTATATTGCCAAGCATAACAAAATAATGGATTCAATCATGTAAAAGGAGAAGCACCACCCAAAGCTGTCCATGAATTACTGGTTAAAGGTAAGAGATGCTCAAGTACATAAGCATGTTTTATAAATATAATATAATGCAAATATATTTTATTCCCAAAGGACGGATTAAAAATGGAAGTAATAATGAAGACACCAAGGACCACTGATCCAAAAGACATCTGGAAACAACTTATACTGTGGACTGTAAAAAAATAATGGACAAACCCATCAGAAAGAGTTAGAGACACCACCCAGAACTGTTCATGAAATACTGGTACAAAATATGTAATGCTCCAGTACATAGGCACATTCTATGAAATATGATGTGGAAAGTGCACTATCACAAGCTAGAATTATAACATAAATCCAACAGCTAAGATCAGCACAGCCCAATCAATGGGATAGGATTTATTGTTTATGAATGTCAAAAGGAAATGTTGGGTGTTTGCACATTTGCTTTGTAGACTATCAAGGATATATACTTTTAATAACAAAACAGAGAATTAACCACAAAGTAGAAGATTAAATTCCGTGGGAAAAATTTTTGGGAAATGACCTTGTAAGAGCTGATAAATAAGTAGGCCACATGTACATCAGGAACAAATAAAGAATAATACATTCCCAACAGAAACTTCTTTGTTCCCCTGCATGAACTTTTATTAGCCAATAAGATCTTGAAGTTTGCAGCCTTTTGGAATGCTACAAATTTTAGACTCCAAGAAAGTATACTCCCATGAGTAAATAGGTACAATCAATAAAAGACATCTTTATGATAGTTCTACATCCAAACTTTTTGAATCAGCTAATCTAAAAGCAACAGCATCATTTCCATATAGCTAATATAAAGGAACAGATCAAATACAGTAGGATACACAAATAAAATCTATAAATATGTCAGTATGCATGTTTTTGAAGTATATGAAGATTTAAATGCATCATATCATGTTTAACTTTCAACATAATGAACCATGTGTCATATCAATACCAATGCCTCATAGAATTTTGCATTCAGTAAGCAGATAAGGTTTCAGTGCCATTCTTCCATAAAACTTCATTAACAATCCTTATACTTGGCATCCAATGTGTGAAGTAGGTAAATCTAGATCAAGCCAATCATGTTTATTTTACTAGATGGACATGCATAGTATTCATTTTCTAACCACATGAGAATGAGGCTTTAATACCTTAATGAAAATTTAAGTATCATTACTGATAAAAAATGCTTATTTTACTTTTGCCAAATACTTTTCAAGAACATGAAAGATGGGCTAGGCTGGACTGGATACTGAATGCCCACTTAAATTATCATTTGCATTATGTATAGATCGTAGATGACATTCATTAAGCCTGACAGGCTCACCCTCAATCTCCTGTCTTCCTTCCACAGGCAACAAATTCTTGTAACTTTAGGTAACAGGAATAAAATCCATACCACATAAATCATTGACTTTCTTGGCCATTTCCTTAATTTCCTTCTCCACTTTCTTTATACTGGTAGAGTAAGGTCCAAGACCCTGCAATCAGAACATTCAAACAGAGAAAGAGGTATGACACAAAAGGTTACAATAAATTGAACTGCAAGAAGATCTGACACCAAAATAACAAAAAGCATTACAGAGATTGATAGGTAGAGGAAAAACCAAAGCATTAAACATGAAACATGCACAATGATTCAACATAAGATAGGCAGAAGCTCTCAACTGGATATCCTCCAGCAAAATAAAACATTATACAGCCATGGACAAGAACCATGCAACTAAGAAAAAGAAATGACCTAGCTAGATTTCCAAACTCCAAAGACTAAAGGATATTGAGCAACGGACAGACATCATAATGATCCAACATTTCATGTTGGGTTTGTTGTAGTTGAATTACCAAGTTGAGTACACTTTTAATTGGTTCAGATGGTATTGCCTTCTCATAAAGCATTTTACATAGGTGCAGGTTTTAATTACCAAGTTGAGTACACTTTTAATTCAAGCATTCTGGCATAGGTGCAGGTTTTCAGTATTGGAGAAAGAGCATTGGGTTTAGTAGAGAATAGTGGAGAGGTTCTATGCTGGCTTTACAACAAATTTATAGAGATGAGAGGCAAAGTGAGAAATCCAATAAAATAAGAGGTTTTTTTGTAATAACCAAAAAAGAAAATATTTTATTAAAAAGAGAGAAATTACAACAAGGTGATAAGTTATCACCCACTAAAGTCAAAGCCCAAAATCAAACCATCAAGACCCACTAACCCCTTTGTTTCTTCCTTCTAGCATCAATAGAACCATAGGTTTACCGAGGTTGTTTAGAGATGCCCCCAAAGGTTTATTTTGGGATCAATACAGATGAAGATAGACTTTAAGTTAAGCAAAGATGTTTTGTTATAACAAGGTTGTTGGATAAGGAAGTTGTTGGCAGGTTACCAAGTATATGGGAGAGAACTTCCTGTTCCTCTTTTTTACTTTCTATATTATGATGTTACAAACAACCTTGTTTGATTGTCCATTGCCATTGATGTTGTGGGTAATCAAGTTGGCCATATCACAATTGTTTAGGCTTTAGCCTCGGATGCACAAATCTTGTTTCACCATTTCCCTCCTCCATAGACAATACATTCTCTGAAATTATGAGTTCACAAATTTGCTCACACTACTCCAACCCAGACGGCCCTTGTAAGTTGTTAGTTGCAAGTGTACATAGGTGTATTCTTTAACTCTTTTGCTACTTGGTTAATGAAACATACTTTACCTTTTTCCAAAAAAAAAAACACTAAATCTCTAATCGGGGAATTTTCTGTTTACCTTGCTTCCACCCCACCTTATCTTCATTCTTATGGGCACCACAATCTCTTGTATATTTTATGCAGTTTGCAGGAGCCAATCTAATTTTAATTTAGGAATGTTCGACTCCCCACAACCAGAGTTAATAGCGGCAGGATTGGCTCGAGCCAAAATCAATTTTTAAATGGAAAAGTATACACTAACAAAAAGCCACACATTAATACCGTGAAGCACAACCTTTCGACAGAAAAATCAGGGGAAATGCTGTACAGCATAACAAAGAAAATGAAATCAAACCCATATACACGGAAAAGATGAAACCCTAAAATAACACAGGAAGGAGAAACCCGGTTCAAGAAAACGATCCACAACTAAAACATGGCAATCCGCAAACTACTGAATGTAAAGGCAGAACCTTTGTAGTTGAGCCCAAGAAGGAAACCTTTTTATCCAAATCTAATGATCTCGTGCAAAACAGATCAACTCGAGGGATCAAATTAAGCTGTAGAGGAGAAGGGTAAAAGAAAAAAGATTAGGGTTAATGCAGACACTCACATAGGTTTTGAGAAGAGCGATGTCATCTTCGTCAAGGGGACGAGGATTTTTCTCGTTGATCTCCTCCTCAGGTTCGGGCGCCATTGATCCTTGCTTCGAGCTCTGGAGCTTGCTTGCGAAACAAGAGAGGTAAAACAAGAGTTGAAATCCAGTCTGCAGACTAGTAGCTAAGGTGATATCTGCCGGACCGCCACCATGGAAGCAACTTTGCTTTAGAAACAGGTCTGCACGGACCGGCGGTTCTGTAAGGACGAAGAACCGAACTGCTAAACCGTTTGGTGCATTAACTGAACCGATACGTTATCAAACCGATCAGCAGGACAAAAAGCTGAAAAGAGTGACCGGCTCATGTCAAAGGGCGATGCTGTGTTTGGTTTGAAAGGGCAGTACGTTATCAAACCGATACGTGCACCCCTTCCTTTCCTTACCTTTTGTCTCAAACCAAACATAGCCTAAGAGTAAGGCTCTAAGCCTCTAACCGGACCGGATTCGGATTGAGTCTGACTACATCTGAGGTTGATCCAATTATCAGAAGACCATATCTGAAATCCAACAAGATTTGGGGTAGATGAAACAGACGTCCAAATTCAAATTCTAATTGTCTGCTTTTTCAAAAAAAAAAAAAAAAATCGAATTCTGTCTTGGATCGAATAGGTTTTTTTCTTGAAAGAAATCTTAGATCGAATATGGATCGATCCCTATCTGATCCAATTTAATTCCATTTAAACGTAAGGTGATCATTTGAAGCCTGATAGACAAAAAAAGGTATAGGTTCTTGCAATAAGAAAATGATTTAAGGGCTCATGTAAAATTAGAAAGCAGGCCCAACTCTAAGAATTGCGCCTAAACCTCGAGCTTGGGGTTAGGTTTGAATTATCTAAACTGAGTCCAATCTATACTAAAATTTGATGTATCTAGATTGGGTTCAGGCTTTGGTCAGAGTCGACTTAATCTATCCATGTATGCATATCTATCTATACTACTCGAAAAAGTACCAATAGTCCCTAAAAATTTCTGGAATTTTAGTTGAACAAATTTTCTCACTTTATGTTAATATTTTTAGATTTGAATTTGAGGACAAATATGATATTTTGTTTATTATTTTAAATGAATTAATAAATGAATTGTAAATGAAATTTCATGGAGTGTTTAATTGAATATATTTATCTCTCTTTCATTTAATAATGAATTGTAACTGAAATTTAATGGAGTTTTAGCTAGATGTATTTCTCTCTTTTAATTAATATTGAATAAAATCATTGTTATTTGATCAATATTTAAAAGTATGTCCAATTATCACTATTTAATGATTTCAAAATGTGGATTTTGAGGGTGACTCTACAATTTTGACCATGGTTTTAGGCAAGGTTTTAAAAACCGACCTGGAAATGGAACTGCTTTGACCATTGGTTTTTGGATTAGCGGTTCAACCATTCGGGTCGAACGGTTCAACCCGCAACATTAAATTTCTGAGAAATAAACCCTATAATGCTCGTATTATATTCATATTCTATTTTATAATTTTTGTTCTTGTCGTTCCATTAAAATCGACGTTTAAAATTTAAAAGCCTATGATGACACATTAATTGTATTTGGAGATAGGGGACTAAGGGGAGAGATAAAAGGTGAGATGTGAGAGGTGACAGAGAGAAAGTGTATCAAAATAGTAAAATAGAATAATATATATATATATATATATATATATATATATATATATATATGTGTGTGTGTGTGTGTGTGTGTGTGTGTGTGTGTGTACGTATGTATGTATGTATGTATGTATACACTAGTAATTAAGCATGTGCATTGCATGTGAGATATTTTTCTTCATATTAATTACTTGAATTTTACATATAGAAATAGAAAATTAACAAAAGTAACAATATGATTTTCTGTATGTTGATATTTTATTTATTTTTAATTTATTATTTAATTATGGAATTATTAGTTAACCCACTGACCCAAATGGTTAAATTGCTTATCCACCACAAAGAGGGAAGAAAATGGTTTTGTTTTCAAATTACTTTTCAAAATATTTATTTTTATGCTATTAAAATTAATTTTACAGATTTAATTAGTAGAACTTAATGATGAGATCTTAAATATATGATTTAATGAAAGAATATACCTTAAATATGAGATTTAATGAGAGAGAATATAAAAAATAGTTTTATTTCCAATTGGTTTTAAATTTTATATTCCATTTCCATCACTAATTAAAGCATTTATTATTTATCATACTTATTATTGTTTAATATGTTGAATATATTATGATAGAAATGTCCCCATTTTTTTTTAATTTCTATATTTTTTGTATTCTATCTATTTTTAAATTTTATTATTTAATTGTGGAAACATGGATTGGCCCATTTGACTCAAAATGGTTTAATTTCTTACCACCACCTTGATGAAAACACTATTTTTTAAGTATATTTTAAAATTATAAGTTTTATGTTATTGAAATTATTAATGTATTATGTATGGATTTAATTAATATAATTTAATGGCGAGAAGAAACAAAAATGTCTTAAATATATGATTCAATAAAGGTAAATGCAAGTTAATAACTTAAATGTTGGATTCAACGAAAGAATTCAATGCATTGAATATCATAATATTACCTTTTTCAATTCATTTAATATCAATAACCGATTGCCCTATTTGCCCTCTTATTTTATCAATAAATTTAAATATGGAGGGGTAAATTTTGTCTTGAGAAAATTCCAAAAATATTTTATGGCTATTTGTGCCTTTTAAAGTAGTATAGATATATAGATTCTAGCCTTCTCACATTACAAGTTACAAACATGGCAATTAAGCTACATTGACAGTAAGTTACATGGAAGTTTCCATTTGGTGCAATAGCCTTGTAGACTGATTGAGAGATCCTTCTCATTTATTCTGGAAGTGGAATATCTGCAAGGTCCTCCCTGTAAGGAAGTTCCTCAGATTGAGTGTTGGTTCTTCCATTGAACCCTTTCTCCATTTGGATCTGAGCAGTAGGATCTAACTTGGGTGGCTCCATGAATGTTACTGCAGTGTCTTTGCGGAAGCTTAAGTAGAGAACAGCAAGAATGTATAATGCCATGAGGGGAAACACTATGATTCCAATGAATACATTGGCAACTTTTGGCAGATTATTGTGAATCAGCCAACCAACAAATCCTGTGCTCAAGTAATAGACATTGATACCGATGATGCATAGCCCTAAAATCCATGAGATCAAGATGATCTGCAAGAACAACCATTGTGGACAAAATCACACTTGTCAGCCCAAGATTTTACCATTAAACCAATCAATGGCCCTTAGTTGTGATACCGAAGCAGTAGAAAACCAAGTAATACTCACATATATAGAATTCTTGTGGGGTCCCATCTTGGTAGAACTGCTACTAAATTTGAGAAGAGGGATAAGAGCAAATGGCAACTCAAATGACAATATCATCTGCATCATATCCATTACAACAATTTCAGGATTTAATTAATGAAAAGGCTAAATTAAGTAGATGATATTCCTCAAACAAAATATTGAGTCAATTCACAAACCGAGGCTATGATGATCAGCCGAGCAGCACCAGAAGAACCACCAATGATAGAGACAACAAGACTAGGTGTAATAGCAACGCAACGAGTCATTAAATTCCTTAACCACTTCCTCATCTGAAGGTCCAAGAACCCCTATTTGAATTTACAAAACAAGATGTATGTTTAACATGAAATCAAATCAAATCAAAATGAAATAATGGGCAACCGGTCTAGTCCCACAACCTGCATGATATATTGGCCTGCATAAGTGCCAGTGATGGTGGAGCTCTGTCCTGAAGCCAGTAAAGCAATGGCATAGATGGTTGAACTTGACTTTCCTAAGACATTCTGCAAGTAAAGATGATTTTTGTTAGGAATAGAGTTTTTTCTTATCACGCTTCCCCGATATGTGCTATATTATGTTAGTGATATACAAACCTTGAGAAGAAAAGCAGCCGAGTTTAGAGTGAGATCACTGCAGTGATCAGAGTCCTCATGGGAGAGGTTTGGGGCCGAGCAGACAGTGCCTGAGACGGAGACCACTGCAACATTGATCAAAAAGGCTATAAACAGTGCGAATCCACTCTCTATCAAGAAAAATCTACACGCATCCTGCAAATTCATGAATTCAAATTTAGTTATCACATGCTTGTAGAGTATAGCTCAAAGAGAAGTGTTTTCTTGGTATCTTACATTGACTCCACGGACGGATTGAGGTACCTTCCTTGAAAGCACAAGAGCAGAATGGAGAAAGAGGTTATGCCTGTTGACAAATCATGGGAAAATGAAGTTGAAGTAGAGTGAGAAATCTAGGGAAATGGGGTTCTCAGAAAATGATAAAGGATGATGAGGCCAAGAGGGATGGGGTCCTACGGCATGACGAGGGCGCCCAAGAGAGCAATAGCATCGGGCGTGGCACCATTACCACTGAGCCTAGGCAGGAACATCCCCTTCAGCACCTCTGTTGCAGGAGGCTTGACGTAGCTCATTTCTCCAAAATAGCAACCAGCCATCACAAATACTAGAAGTGCTATTAACATCTCCAGCTTCCGGACCTGGAGCATGATCAGGATCAGAAGCAAATGAGCAAACTCATGGTCATTAATTAACAATTAAGCCCAAGTTGATGGTTTTGATTTTTGAAGTGATTAACCATGGGTTAATACTAAATCTGCTTCTAGGAGCTTAAGAAGGTACTGAATCAACATGGGTGCAGGCCGAGGAATCATGTGTTCACGTATTGGAGTTGTTGCCAAGTGATGATTAGCCATAGTTGCAGAAGGGTATATCTTGTAAAGTGATATGGATTTAGGAAATGAAATTTAGTCCATGAATGAAAAGCTTTTGGAGACAGGAAATCTTCTCAACACATGAAAAGTAAAAAGATAAGAAAGAAGTCAAAGAAAGGAAAGAAGACTTTGTTTTCCTCAAGAACAAAAATCATAGATAGTTAAGAAACACAAATGATCTAAGTATTAATTCCAGGTGGGGAGATGGCTTGGGCCCAACAGAACCCCACTTGTTCATCTCTCCACTGGCTATTTATGGGGCAAACTTTAGTGTAGAAATTTTCAACAGATGTCCTTAACACATCATGTTTCAAATTATAGCTTCAAAAATCTAGATAATTAAGATACTTGGAGAAAGCACGACAGAGACAAGTTTTGATTTAGGGATTGAACACATGGTCAGTCGATCCAGAGGGTCCCTTGTCTGATGGCAGCAATTTGTTAGATAGTGAGGACAAAATGCTCGGCAAAACCGAGTTCAGCACTTTAAGACTCTTAATAGGCAATTTGATTCATCACATTAAAAAATTGTAGGTTTACCTGTTTGTTAACTATTCTACTAGTTAGTTTCATATGATGTCATCAGCATTAATTAATCAAATGAAGATTACCCCATATCTCTGTAGACCCAGAAGTAGGAGAGTACTCAAGCCAGTTAAGAGAACACCAGCCCATACTGGGATATGAAACAGTATATTCAGAGCAAAAGCCGTTCCAACAACTGTAATGAAACAGAAAACCCATTAGTCATGTAACAATATTATGCAAATCTGAACAGTAATGGAGGTAATAGATAGACAGACAGAGAGAAACCTTCAGGAATATCAGCTGCAATGACGGCAAGCTCTGCCAGCAACCATAAACAATACCTTACGTGTTTTGGGTATTCTATTTTGCACAGCTCGGACAAGTGCTTGCCTTAGACCCAGAAAAAGAGAAGAAGAGAAAAGAAAAGTAGATTTAAAGATTGAAATGAAGAGTTGAAGAAATTAAAGCCTGTGGGTCTGTGTCATACCTGTTGCTACACCAAGATTCGCTGCAAGGGACTGGATAATGAAAGCGAAGATCAACCCGATGAGGACGACCCAGAGTAGCTGAGAACATCTCAGAAGAGAAAGTAAATTGAATAAGTAAATGAATAGAAGAGCTTAGTTTTTCTGTTACATGCATGCTTATTTTCTCATGCTCAGTTTGGAAGGATTACAAATACAAATATGTAGAGTGCAAAACCTTGTATTTTGTATTTATTTGTACTGTACATATTTGCATTTGTACTTTTTCCAAATGGGGTTTTCCTTTTGTGGTCTTATACCTCATATCTATGGTTGGCTCCCGCTTGAAGATCAGTTTCCACTGTAACATATATAGACCATTATAAGCTTGAAATAAAAGAAACGATCACAGGAGACAAGAAGCAATGTTTCTGTGTGTATGTGTGTGTGTGAAGAGAGAGAGACTTACAATTTCCAGGGTCTAAGTAAGCCAAAGAGACTAAAAAACCAGGGCCTACATATGGCAAGAACTTCCTCCAGCCAGGTTTCTAGTTATCAAAATAGAGTGCAAAGAAGTAAGTAACATCTTAAGATTAAGAAAAGAAGAAATAAAGTTTGAAAGGATGATAATAAACCTGGTGTTTGGGATCCTCTTCCTGGAAATCTTTGTTACTATGATCACTTATGGATGGTGGATGCTCCTCTTCCAAATTAAACGAAGCAATTCGGTTGCTTCCTCCTCCCCAAAATGGTGGGTCCCTTCCAACCGCTTGATGTTGTTGCTGCTGCTGGCTCTCCATCTCTCTCTCTCTCCTCATAGTTGGTGAACTCTATTCTCTCTAACTAAGCACATGAATACATGATACAGTCCTCTACTTATGGACTCTATTTATAGATAAAGAATAACATAAAAATGCAATGTGAAAACAAGCCAGTTTAAGCATCAATAATACTCCCATATGGCATACCCTTATCAGTACTCATATATGCATTATGTGTGAGATCAAAGTCACTTTCAACACATACAAAGCATCTATGTAAACTAAAAAAGAAACCCAACCAAATATCATTTTATACTCATGATCAGCTCATATGACATTTTCCTGAGACTTGAGTTCAACTCATCAACTGCTACCTTAATCACTGGGCTTCCCATTGGTCAGTCCCCTTTTCTATTTCTTTAATCAATTTGTCCCATATGTTTGGACTATTTGGTATTTTAATAGGGTCATATCTTAATAGGAATTTGGGAGGATCCAATATATATAGTGGAATATCATTTTGCAATGGCAGCTAGCCACTTCATCACTTTACCATATCTTTAAAAATCTACATGTTTTCCACATCATACTCCATCCTCTCTAGGTCAGTGAGGAGAGAATCACCCAGAGGGACAGATGTACACACCCTTACCTTGTACATACAAAGAGGTTTTATATCATCAAAATTTAAGAATTGGGATCTCCTGCCAACAAATGTTCTCACTCCTTATCTGACACTACACATCTCACTATGAAACTGGGGTCCATCATAAAAGTAGGACCCATCATGTATGAGATGTGTAGTGTCAAATGATGTTGGTAGGGAGTTGGAACGTAATTTGTTGGCTGGTGATCCAAACTCCACACCAAATGTCAAAACCAGTAGACGATCCTCTCCTTATTCATGCAATGCATCCCTTCAGATCATCTAATCCAACAGATATTTTTTAATGGCAGGAAATGTTATTAATTGGGAGATTGATTTCCCTTTAGAAATGAGGCCTATAAGTTCTAAATTGTAATTAATATTAGGGTTGTAAATGGATCATCAGATTGGAAATATGTAGATCCAAGTTTTATTTTTTTTAATATTAGAATTCAAATCAAATCTTTTCCATTGAATTTAGATTGGATTCGGGTGTCATTTGGATATTGAACGTCATTATTAAGATAAACTAAACTAAGTCGATCAAGATATCATATAATATTAATATAATGAACTAAAAATAACTTTAATTTTGTATATCATGAATAAAATGAACTTCAATTAACCTTGAACCTTTGACTCTTAAGTAAACATTACCCATATTGGTCATGGTCCCAGCTATATGGGGTCTTAAGTGGGGTGGACTAGGTACAGTGCTAACCTTTGGCATTTTTCTTTCCCCACAAAGCAGCCCCCCTCAAAAATATGTAACATTAGATCAATTTGGATCACTGTCAACCAGATCTGGATTTGGATGTGGACAAACCGATATCATTTGCAGCTATTCCTGTGGACTTATCAAACTTGATTATTATGCTTATGAGATCTCCATGAGACACCATATGATATTTCTTGGGGGTATTTCCCACAACTTTCTTTCTCCATTGAATTGAATTAGAGATAATTAGACCTATTCATGGGCCAGGACAGGATTTGTCATTATATTAACAGAACACATCCAGGATAGAGCCCAAGCCCAGCCCTCATATAAAGCCTGAAGCTCAGTCCTAAGCCTGAAATCTGACCAAAAAATTGGAAAAAAAAATATTCTTTTTTTACTTAATAAAAAACTGATTTATTTATATTAAAAGACCTTAAAACTCAAAAATAATGAAGTATCTCACTATAGCTTGAAAAAAAAAACAAGGAAAAGAACATATTATATGTATATTTTTATTATATAAATTACATTTCTTGTTATATAATATATTATCCAATTGGGCTCAGGCTCATACTCAGGCCGATTTTTCTCCTGATCCCAAACCCATAAACATAAATTCATGTTCAAATCCAATTTAAAACAGGTCAGGCCAGATCAAAGGATCTGGCTACTCGACCCATGATCAGTTCTAGAAATAATTTATGGGTGGAACATAGATGAAGTGATAACATATCAACCTTTCATCCGGCGGCTTTGCATCAACTAATATAAAAGAAAAACAAAAACCCAATTGGTTAATAACACCTCTGCTTCTAATTAATCTAGGTCTTCTAATCTCCCAGATAAAAGGTCACCATTAACAAATAGGAGACAGCTTTAATGGCCCACCATGAATATCAAAATCTCAAACTGTCCATTCTCTGCTGTCATGGTGATGAATGAAAAGGATACTGAACATCAGCTGCTAACCACCTCATGGGCTTAACCACGCCACTCACCCTCCCTTTTGTCTTCGTTTCCAAGTCCCAAGCTCAAGTGTGCATATTTCAAAGAAAACAAAACAAGGGTAGTTTTGCTTTCCTAAATTCCCTCACACAAAATTGCAGCCCCTAAAGCATTAGTTTAGAATTTAGATTACAATATCCCATCAATTCGGATGCCAAATTTTATCTTATCTTTAAGGTGCGCGCATGTCTTGAATCATAAATTAGAAAAACCAATTCCTCCCCTTTAAAGCATGGAGGCCTTACTAAAATATGAATAAATATAATATCTGTAGTTTTGCATACATAAGTATCTGTTCCCATGTATTTTGGACCTGATGACAATGACGTAGGACTGAATTAGGGCATGCTTATTCTTTGCTTAACGTAGATTATAAAATGAGGCTTGTGCAGGCCATGTGGGTGCTTGCTGACAGCACGTGGTTATTCGTGCCGACCACGTGGTGAGCTTGACATGCTGGCATTTTCTTATCTTAATGCTGGCATGCTGGCTTTATATATATATGTATGTGTTTGTGCATGTATGATGTTTGTGTGTGTGAAGATTAATTAAATGGATTGATCACTTAATTGGCCCAAGCTTTTACATTAGGTTGGGCTTGCATTTGATGGTTGCAATGTGGACCATTTTAGAGCCCATTTGGAAGGCTTCAGATTTGATTGAGCTGTTTTGAAGAAGCTGCTAAAACCAATTTCAGCCAAAAGTCAATTTCTTAGTTACATTAAAGTATATAAGGCTTGGTCTGAAAAGAGTACAAATGCAAATATATACAGCGTAAATACATACAAAATAATACAAAATATAAGGTTTTTCACTCTGCATATTTGCATATGTACTCCTTCCAAACTTAGCCTAAGGTTGTGTTTGGTTGCAATGCAAACTTATATGTCCTAGTACAAATGCATGGAAGTGCAAATGTAAAAATGCAAATTATATTCTTGTTTAATTTTATTTTAGATTTTGCTTTATTTTACTTCATGTCTTAGTTTACTTCATCTGTACTGCAATAAAAAAAAACTAAAATTGAAAAAAAAAATAGTCAAAATTTACACTAAAATTATTTGCTGCCATAGTTATGCATCAGTATAAATTTATTTGCATTGCAGCCAAACACAGCCAAAGGGATTTATGGGTTTTTCACCAAATACAGCTTTTAGGCTTACTATCTGAGGCCCACTTTGCAAAGCCACAAGCTTTTGCATGAAAGCCCTCCCAAACGGGATGGACAAGTACAGCCCAAGCACAATTCCGGGCCAAACCTTCTTCATGCTTCAGCATGAGTTGGGTGGGCTTAATTTCGGACCTTGGGTAGGCATTTAGGCAAGCACAACCTTACCATAGGCAATTTACTAAATTGTATTTTATATTGACAATAATTTTTAGGGTAAATTACAGATTGTCTCCTTGTACTTAGATGTGATGACATTTAGCCCCTCGACTTTGTTTTATGGCAAAGATACCCCCTGTATTTTTAGATTTCAGCACTTTGCCCCTATAATACGCCATTGACGAGTTGGGGTCTCCTGCAAACAAAACACCTTCCAACACTCTACCAATGTAATCTTACACCACATATCTCACCATAAGAGTTGGAAGGCAGGATATCCGGACTCGCCATTGACAGGGTTGACTATAAGGATAAAATTATTAAATTGCCCATTTGAGATTTGATGTGTTGGGAGTAAAAGCTATCAAAACGAGGATAATGGGATGCTAAGATAGAGTTTCTCTCTTGCACTGGGTTGTGCTTTCAAACCCTACCCAATTCAAAAGAAATACTATATTTTAGCTTTTATACTCCGCCCATTGAATCTTGAATCTGAATTGGCAAAACAAAGTTCAGAGGACTAAGTATACCACCCACAAACTACAGGATTGCAGTCCGTAATTTACCGTAGGTTTTACTTGTGTGTGTATGTACAGTGTAAATACATATAAAATAATACAAAATATAAGGTTTTGCACTCTACATATTTGCATTTGTACTCCTTCCAACCTCAGCCTGAGGTGTTGATCATTCCAAGGGATGTTTCTTTTGTGTTCTGTCTATTCTTCACACTATAAATTCAAAATCCAAGCATAGATTCGCCTAACTCGGATGAAATCTTTTTCCCAAATAAAACTGATCATATGATGTAGTAAGATTTTTTTTTTTTAATTAATTAAGGCCATGTTTGATTTGCTGTTGTGAGTCTCATTCTTTCAGTTCTTACTCATTTTGGGCAAGAATGAATCATATGAAAGCATTTATTTACAAAATTCTTGCCATAGGACTCATTATTTTAGAATAAAAATGAATTCATGGCATAAAATCAAGCTAACTTGTAGAATGAAATATAATGATGCTTCATATTGCGCATTTCGTTTCTATTAAAAAAACTCTATACCACTAGCATAGATTTCTACCGACGGATGGCTGATAGTCTGTTGTAAAAACATATGCTGACAGATATTGACCATTGGCCATCGGCCAATAAAAATCTATATGGCAGTTTTTGAAACCTAGTATGTGGTTGGAATCGTGGGCGCCACTAGGCTCCACATCAGCATAATAGTGAAAAAACGTCTAACCGTTGTGAGAAGCTTTAAAAAATAACTTCCACAAACAGTAGGTGTGCACAGAAACCAAAGTCACATTTTGCTATTCTCGATGCATACGGAAGAGTATGAGAGGGGAAATGCTGAAGTGATGCCTATGTGGCAGCATTTATTGAAAAAACGCCCACACTTCCAAATACACACGGCGTCTGGCAGTGGTGGTTTATGACTGTTCGTATAGAATTTTTTTGAAAAATGAAAATAAACAATATG